AAAACTAAAACCGTTTCATTAAATGGGAAAAATGTAATATGCTTAGTCCTACTGTGGAGAACAACAGATAAAAAGTATCGCTGTGCTGCTTCAGTGTTGCTGCCGGACTTGTCCTCAAGGTAGCTTTCTGAAAGTAACATTGCACTTAAAATTTTCAGCGATCACCACCGCACATAAAACTCTGGCAGCTCGTAAACAGTGAAAGTATTCGCAAGCGCGCTTCGTCGGAGCTGAAGTATACCAATTAAATTATAATTGCTCCAGCTGTTTAAAAAATAAATTTGACAAAGGACATAAAATGTTATTTTTATCATTAGGAATTGTTTATCAATTACTTTTTAGTATAAAGTAGTAAATGTTATTTCTGTCTTGTTTATAGTAGTTTGTCGTATTGATGGTTATTACCGTATATCGTTGCATAACCTCTTTTTTATAGAATGCGGGTGACAAATGAACACACTGCCCACTTGATGGTCAAGTGGATACTGTGGGCCATAGATATTCATTTATCCTCGATTAAGAAACAAAATGCAGATGCGTTGTTACCCCTGAGGACTGAGATGGAATGCCTCGTTTCAAGTAAAAAGGGTCTCCGGTTATACGAAACACAGTCTCTTTTTCAAATTGACAGTAGTTGGTTTAAAAAGCTTTTTACTAAATTGGCTTGGGAAATAATAAAAAAAATAGATTGAAAGAGGTTAGGATTTCGCCGAATTTTGTCGGAAGCGATAAAATACTTTACGCTAAATATTGTCAGATATAAATGAGCGACGGACTTTCGTTCATTTATTCATTGTTAATTATCTTGGATCTAATTATCGCTTCATCACATATAATATTACATTGAAAGTTTTAAAACCCCCCGAAATAACAAGAACTGATGATCTTCAAACAGCTCAAAAGATTTTCTTGAATCATAGCTAAGAACACTCTCAATCAAGTCACCTTTCATACAAAGAAAATAAATCTAAATCGGTTCATCTGTTAGGGAGCTACGATGCCACAGAGACAGACACACAGATGCACAGATACACAGAAACACCCTCTGTTTGTGTCGAAGGTTAAAAAAAAAACAAATACATTATTTTAAAATTTTTAATAATACTAGTCTTTCTGGATTTAACAGCTATTGAAGCTACAGGAATGTGGGCAGTCTGCATCGTTATTCTGTGTTAATAATACATAAAAATCGTACTATATCGTACGAAAGATTGTCAATAAGTCGTATTTAAAAATGTCTTTAATAAAAATAATGTACAGAATTATATTCGTTTTTGTGTTAAGTCTGTAATATGAAATTTTTCTTACAAATTTTTTTGTAAATGAACCTTGGAACCGTTTGGATAACCGAATCATCGTCGTCCAACCGAGACAGCTCGACCTAGACATACATTTGTTAAATGTTAATGCTTGTTTTTAGTAAATATAGTGTTAAATTGCTATTGTATTTATAAACTTCGAACAATAACAGTTCAAGTTAATTAGTAATTTATTTCAACTTCAACTTCATTTTGTGTTTGCGTATTCGCCTTTACTTAATCTATTTACTCCAATAACGTAAAAACTATAATAATATTGTCTTTTTTCTGGTTGGTTTTTAATACATAGGAAAGAACGTTTGTATTCACATTAAAATACATCAGTAGTTTTTGCCTCATTATGGTTACTATTTTTAAGAATATTTGATGAAATTCGAATAGATTATCTCGATCCTTATATAATCGCATTATATTAAATTGGCATTATTCTGAATTTGCATCAATTCCTAATTCAACAACAATAGCATAGTTACGTATACTATTTAGTATTTGTTCTTTGTTTTTGGAAAATTTTGTGATTTAAATGCTCCATAGAGGGTTGTGACAACCACAGTTGTTTACTTTTCTAGTTGTTGTTGAAAAGCGGCTGGTGCCCATCCTCTGGTTTGTTACCTTGTGTTGCCTCTTACGACACCCACGGGTCGATATAAGGTAATAGATATTCTTACACCACCACTACACGGTCAATCAATGTGGGAGACCCGTGTTCAGCATTGACTTTTAATAGGCTGTAACGACAACGGTAAATCGTTCAGCTCTTCTGGATGGCAATCAAGGCTGCAACTAATCGCTATAAGATCCACAGACATTGTGTCTGCGTTCGTCATGCTATTTATTTCATAACGATGTTAGTCTTTTAAAACACGTTTGGTTCAAGTGCGATAACATCGGTCGGGGATGCACGCTGTTGCGTTTTTCAACTTAACACATTGTGATGTCTTTATTACAGTTTTGTAAGGGCTATTATGCAAATGTGATTATAACCGAATGGTGGTTTTATCTAGTATAACGCTTCACAAAATTTTAAACATACACAATAATAACTATTAGATTCGTTTATTGTTTATATATATCATAGACATTTATTTAATAGCTTCAGTGTAATAAAGACAATAGAATTTGATAATGTCTTTTTCTAAAATCAATATAGGAATTAAATTTAGAACTTTAACTGCATAACTATGGCATCAACTAGTGCGGTAGTTTCTATATGATACAATACTTAAGCATTAACACCAACTAAGTGCTGAGTTGTTTGAAAAAGACTAAATCGAATTATGAAATGTTTACTACTTGCCTCTAAATCACTTGATTCATTTTATCAAATAAGTTTATGATCTATATTACTATTACTAATTAGTTGTATATATACAATAGTTGTATATGACAATATAATGCAATATCCTATTAGTTTTTGCCCTTTTCTTGTAGTTTTAAATGTCAAATTTCGATCACTGATTTGAACAGTTTTAGGTTTATTATAAGTAACAAGCCCAAAGTTTAAACATTTACAATAAACCCAAGCGCGTAAAAAAATATGTAAAGAGAACAGTTTAATATCCTGTCACTCACAATTAAGACGAATCTAAATACACCTCATGTGTTAAAATCCATCAAGCCGTTTAGGCTATAGAGCGTGCCAAAGAAATATACATACATACATACATACTCTCGAAAAACATTACCCTCTTTCTGGGACAGTCGGATAAAAATTCTTTAAATCGCAAATATGTAAACAGCCTAAAGCTATAGGTGCGAGGAGCAAGCAGGTTGCTTCTGTCGATGTACGGAAAATGACTCATGCTCGTTTCATTCGCCATCTGTTGCTTAGTCCCCCACTACGGATCAAGGTTTTTGTAATACATCTAATAACGTTATTTTATTTCTCGGTTAATGGTGTTTTGCTTACGTATACTTGATGTGATGTATTTGTAAAGAATTGAACACAGTATGTCGCAAATAAAGCCGGAATATATTCGTCTTCAAATATAATTATCTATGTTTAACTTTAAAAAAAATAACTGACTTTTAGTTAAATTATATTTAACTTGAACCACGACTTGACAAACTTTTGTTATTTGAGCATTAATTTAACCATGTTATATTTTCGTTTTTCGTAATTAAAACATGTTAAATAATATAGCATTTTACAAATACATATAAAGTATCCCTAAATACACGTATTTTATGAGCTAGCAAAAACAACTTACTCTGCCTTAACCGTTCGGAAGAATGGTTTTCAAGTGGCAACCTCGTATTGACAAATTTATGGAACGACTCTTTTCTTAATGGGGTAACGACCTATCCAAGTTGATGGATAGAAATTACTCGGGAACGTGTCTTGTATAAAGGAGGCAAATTTTCAGGACTTACGATGGACTACAATAACGCCAATGATAAAGCAGTGATAATTTTACTCACAATTAATGGTTTAAGATTCATATTTATGACAAAAAAAAACTATTTAGTGAACATTTTCAAATCAAATTAAAAAAAAAAGAAAAATGTTAAAAAACTCCTGTAACAAAATCAAAATTTACGCTTGTAATTTGAGTTCGGAATTTATATTGAAATGGTTCGGTTTTCTTGAATTTTATGTTTTGTGCTGTGCCGCTTGTTTGTTTTCGTGTTTGTCTATATTGACACAAGTGTCAACTGGGTCGGTATTTGCGTCTATTTCAGATCTACGTGTCAAGAACTGCTTTGTGTGCCGCAGACATACATGGGTCTTGGTGAACGGTGATATCTCATCTTTTTAATTAACTCTATTGTTTTATCTCTTTCTTTCCAGATACACTGCTAGCTGCTCTCTCGCTCGGACTCTGGACGTTGGAATTACAGTTGCCTTTTCTATGGTTTTAAGGAAGCTCATTTCTCTGGGACGTCATTATAGTGTCATTAAGATGTCACTTCAAGTTTTGCCCGTTTGTTTTACATCAAGGACTTTTTTGTGATTTTGTCGTGATTAAGAGAGAGTTTATAAAATTTTTCTTTTTTATTATAAGTTCTTTTAGTTTTACTGGCCTCATTTGAATTTGTACAAATTTATATCTATTCTATTTCCTTTTTCATGTTTACTTACTAGAATTGAAACACAGTTTGGTTGAATTCTTTCCTGTAATAAATAATATATCATTATTTATTTATTACTTAATTCTTCTTCTGTAATCGATGTTATATTTCTAGATAAATATTATTTTTCATTCCTTTATGTTTCTTCTATTTTGTCCATGAACAATTTTAGTGTCTAAAATTAGCTCGTCGGTGCCACAAACCCAATAATGTACTTGAGTAATATTTAATCACTTGTCGATCGATTATCGTATCGGTAACAGCGCTATCACAAAAAAGTAAGGTGCTTTTGCGTCATCACACATATTTAAATGTGTTGGTCTATGGTTACGTCAGACTATTTGATTTTCTTAATGTTAGGAGTTTTTATTTGTTTATCTATTTGTTTTGTTCACTTGGAGTCTTCCGTTGCCTGTTACTAATATTTTCGTTCGTTTTCCTGCTAGGGAATATGTACGTTTGACATAGAAGGCTCAATTATATTAATTTCACAGAATTCGATCAGTGTAATGGAACTATTACCATAAAAACAGTGATAAATTAGAATTAAGAACCTTCAATCGAATGGAAAAGTGTATGTGCCAATAACGATTATGTTCTCTGATTAAAATGGAGAGGAAATTAACTCGAGAAGATTTCATGCGGAAGAGCTTCCGCGCTCCGAGATTGTCCCAAACACCAGAGGCTCAGTCGCCGACTGTTAACGGGGCTCCCCCACCGTCCCCAGTTTCACTAGCAATGTTAGAAAGAACCCCTCAAGCGTCAAAGGCTAAATATGAAGGCGCGTCAACCGGCATAGCACCCAAGCGCTTAGAACTGAACAGAGCTCATCCGATACATCTGAAATCGTTCCAAACCCCAGACCCTCCAGACGAAAATGGCCCAACGCCCCCATCCGACGACGTTCTACGCAAACTTGAAAGACAGATCGGGGAAATGGAACGCGGACTGGAACGCGCCCAGAATGGGAACGTAGAGGTTGACGAACGGGTGAGATACGCCGAGCATGAGAACTTGTTACGAACTGGGGTCTCTTCGGTTGGTGGTGGAGGTTATCTACCCACAGATTCTGATACGGAACACGATGTGGTTCCATTCAACAGAAACGAAACTACGCGAAGTAGTACAGGGGGTACCGCTCCTGCTACCCGTCCTGCCACTAGACTCGCACGAACACATTCCGACACCCAACAGCATAATGTTGCCGCTACAGCGAGACTGATGAGGAAGTTGGCTGATGGCGGTACTAAAGACGAAAAAACCAAGGTGATTTCGCGCAAAGCGATACAAGCGCGCATGGAACGCGTTAAGAATTCGGTTGTGGGAACGAAACACGAGCACCGAGTGCTGGCAGAGCATAAAGCGGAGCCTCTCCCGTCGCGGACACCAACGTCTCCTGTCTCGCCCAGGTCTTCCGTTCAGGTAATGAGCTGTGATCGTCATGTGAGCGTTTGTATATGTTAATTCTAAAAGGCAAATTTTATAAATTTTCTTTAGGGTTTTTAAATAATAACTATTAAAAGGTATTCTTTCCCATTTATTAAATATTTTATAGCGTTACATCTTTTGTATCTAAAAATAAAACTATTCGTAAATTTCATGTCATATCCATCTTTCTATTGCAGCCTATAAAAGTACACTGCTGAACATGGCCTATGTTCCCTCCTAAGATTGCTTCAAAAGATCATAGTTACCACGCTTGGCAGACTGGTTGGCAATCGCAATTCATGTTATATGGTTTTATTGTAAGAAGTAAGAATGTAGAAGCCATATTTATTTTAAAACCCATAATTATTAAACCACACCGTGGTATCTCAGGGCAGAGGCCAGAAGTGAATTTAGACGAATGCATGCAACCTGCATTCGATCCACACCGTACCAATGAAGTGGTTATATCAAATTTTGGGTGTTCTATATGCAAAAAAAAACCTGCATGTTTGGGAAACAAAATATTTCGAAATCTTGGAAAATTCCGCCAACACGCACCGGGGCAGCGAGGCGGACTAATTGGACTTTGATATTCTCAGAAATGAGAGGAGGCCTGTGCCCGCAGGCCTTCACTACTACTTTTTTAATTGTCGTAACATTTTTAATTTTCTTATCATATATGTATAGAATATCTTCTATATATATATATTCTGGTTTATTCGAACTTCGTTACCTTTTTTTCTCATTATTAGTTTCTTTTTGCTGCACTACCTCCCATATGTTTATCTCTGCTTAGCCTAATGGTTGACTGGGAGGGAATGCCTTAAGGCATTAAGTTCGCCATATGTACGATTTTTCTTTTGTGCATAAAGTAAATAAATAAATAAAATATGATATTTGACCGTGTAGTGGCCTTGTAAGAATATCCACTACCCATATCGTCCCGTCTTTGTCGTAAGACGCGGCAGCGGGAAACTGAGACTAAAAATGGGCAGCAAAACCTTCCTAATAACAACATTAAGTAATAAAAAACTGCGGCTGCCAACCCGCTACCAAGCGAGGCAACTATGGCAAAATCCTCTCTATGAAGCAATCTACGAAGGAGGCATACATATTATGTTCAGCAGGGGACTTTTATAGGCTATAATGCATGCATGGATGCATGGATGGATGGATATTAAAGTTGTTTTGTTGGGCAATATACCTACTGATTGTGTTAAAAACAAATATTTCTAAAGAAAATTTGCAAAGAAAAACATATCCACTGTTCACTTACACACTCGGAAGTGAACTATTTATAAATGGTTCTTTAACGTTTTGCTTATCCATTACATTGAAGCAATGTAAACATGCGATTAATTCCACAGTGTTATTTCAAAACTTCTCATTTGTACGGATGAGAATGTTGCGTAAGAAAATCTATCCCACCATTATACGTCCCGTGGGTGTCGCAAGAGGCAAATATGGGGAAATCCAAAAAGATCTAATAGCTACCGATGAATAGATGAATAGCTGTGTACTATCTGGTATATAACAGATGTGAAATACCCAATACGGCGACAGGAAGCATAATTTATTTATTTATTCTTTATTGCCTTAGACAAAAGAATACAAAGGGCGAACTTAATGCCTTAAGGCATTCTCTACCAGGCCAACCCATGGACTGCTAAGAATTTGACGTAGGTGTAGCAAATATAGAATAAAAACAAAATAAAAATGATAATTAACTAATCGGCCAATGCGTCTGCCAAGTGTGACAATTAAGGTAAAACCTTTCGGAAGGCCCTTGGGGTAACAGTGGGTCTTTACAGGCTGATGATGAAAAAACGACAGGAGAAGTTATTGGTGTATCTTTGTATTTTTGTATTGACTGTCTCGTTGGTCTAGTGATCGTAAACGACATTGCGTATCATGGGGTCCCGACTCGAATCCCGGTTTAGGACAATATCAGTTATTGGGTTTTCCGACGAGAAATTTTCAATAGCAGTCCGGAGTAAGGATTTTGGCGGTGTTTCACCCCCCTAGCCTCGGAAAAGCTCGTATAGCCGTTGATACTGCGCCTGATCTCTCTCCGGTTGTGTTGGATTATGAAAGTGATTGGGCACTATAATTCTGTCCTACGCAGATGCTTAAGTTTTCACTGAGATTGGCCGCTGTGATAGAAATTCGGTTTGGGCATGTTATCTTTGCATCCTCTGGATGTCGTAGGAGTCGACCAAGCTGTAACCGATAGTTGATTATGTAAATAAATAGAATAAAGAACTGCTTGCTATTTAAACAGAAGCATTGACGTCGTAATCAAACGACCCTCCACTCAATGACCCTTCGCCTTATAAATCAGAATGTAAACAATAATATTTAAAAATATTACATCGTCTATTGACGTCTATGTAATCATCAATGAACTGCGCATTCAATTGCTAAGCAGTTATGGTGTTTGTGTATGGATTACACCATGTATACCGACATGAAGAAATGTTCTCTCGAGTTTCGAGTGCCTCGTACTGGTAGACGATTTGTAGGGCGTCCCCCCACTAGATGGAGTAAAACATGCAGGAATTCGATGGATCCAGGTGGCTCAGACCGTGCTTTGTGGCATTTCTCGAGCGAGGCCTATGTTCAGCAATAAACTTGTAAAGGGCTGTACTGATGATAATGATGACCGACATGAATACGATCTTAATTCATAATTTGTCTTAATTTATATATTGTATCTACCTTTTGCGGCTACCATGATCATCGTTACCATTGTAGTCCATGGCAGGGTACATAGAAAGTATGCCACAAAGCACGTTTATTACGGCGGTTTAGTTGCGACTAAATACTATCATATTATACAAGAATTTATTGATATTCTCTGGTTTTAATTAAACTGTGGGGTAAGAGTCCTTCCAACTAAAGAAGTTTTACAGTAGCTATGGCAGGTCGCGGACCGCGAACCCAAAGGGCGTGGATTCGAATCCGCTATATGAATCCACCGTCGCAAAACACTCCTAACACGAGCATTTTAAGCTCACCAGGAGTGGTTAAAGGGAATATTAGTAATGTTAATTGCATTACTAGTATTTTTTTTAAACAAGTCCCTCAGCCAAATCTTAATCCTTTAACACTCTTAGTTGGCATGTTTCCGCAGAAATTATTTCGTGAAACTGATTCTAGTATAAATATGGGACCAATTATAAATTACTTTTTTGTAATAAGACCGATATAGTTAATTCTAAAAATGAACTGAATACGAGTATATTATAATTAAATACCTATTTAACGAGTTCTGCTTGGTAGATTTTTAATTGTTTTGTTTTAAGTAGTTAGTCTTGCACATAGATAAAATATCGCGTGCATTTACACTAATATCTATATGTCAGAGAATTCAACAGAGGATCACAATTTTGATTTCGGAAATACAAGTGGGGGTTTTTCGATATACCCTCATTTTCACCTCGATCCAACGGGGTAATTTATAGACGCTCCGACATATAGATGGTGTGGACTTTATGATTAAATTAAAAGATAAATTAAATTAAAACTCAATGTTTTAATGCATAATTTTTTTTTATGACGGAATTTAATTTCATTATAAGAATACGTTGTGAATATACTAAATTGATAAGGAAAGTATAAAAATAGGTTAAAAGAAAACACATATATTGCTGTCTTGTTATGAATAATGCTGTTTGTACCGGCAAATTATTTCCCGTCACCGTTGAATGTATGTCGCCATATTTGCATTAACATGGCCCGCCTTTCAGCTTTTGTGGGCCAGTGAGGAGATATTCGCAAGGACTTGCCAACAAACATGTTTAATGGCTTTAATTGCTCTGGTAAATAATTATCAAAGAATAGAACATAAGAGAATAGCATTATTTCTATCCCATATAGATTAGATTACAATACTTATTGAAAGTCATTTAATGCTTCTAGCATTGGTTCGGAAAAACCCAACGGGACTATTTTTAAACAGTAATTTATAATATAATATCTTTATCTTGTACACTAAAACATGAAAAATTTTAGAAGCAGCATGGTAGCGATCAATGTATAGGGTACTTAATTTTTTTTTAATTTTGATAGATTAGCCATGCATATTTTCTTTGACTTAGTTGTAAAAGCGTATATATTGTCCCATGAAGGAATTACTAACTCTTTGAATTCAAATAACTGATATAACTAGCTTATTCCTAGTATTTACAGAATGTACATCACTATTTTAATAAAACTATTTTTGTTCTTGTGTACATACATTATTTTTTGTAAATATTCTGAGAGGCCAAAGTTAATATATTTATTTCTTTAAATTTTTCTGTAAGATACTTGTTTGGACCTAGGTTATAAATTGCTCTTATGGCTTTGCTCTGATAAACAAAGATCATTTCAATGTCAGTCGCACCGTAGTACTATCATTTCGTAACGTAAAGTTCTTAACGAAAATGTTGAATTTCAAATGCATTAAGAATTCTTCTATGTGGTAGACCTATACTGCAGCAGTATAGCACCTGCAGACTATACACCTATCTAGGTTTTATCGTTGAGACGTTTGTATTTCCGAACGCCGTGCAAAGCTGGTTCGCCCAGGTAATGATTCATTTAAGAAAGCACATAAACTATCAAAAGGACGCAAAATAGTTTCGTGTTACAAATTAGGTTTTCTGTTAAAAACAGTTTTAAACAATAATAAGTACTAATTATGATATTTTTCTTTTCACAGGTAAGCTGCAGTGATATGGGTACAAAGCGATTACGGTTAAATAAGATCCCAGGTAAGTACCAGCGCCTTGCTTAATACACCTGTCAAAACAACGCTTAAAACATTATGTAACATTTAGATATACGCTCCACGTGTTAATTTTGTAATAGCTAATGAAGTCTCACTCCGTCCATAGTTTATATTTATATGCAAGTAAATATGACATACGAGCACAGGGTTTACGTGATACAGTATCAGGTGAACCCTTAGACACCTTCATCTATCCTCGATTAAGAATCAAAATGCAGAT